AAATCGTCCTGAGACGATATGCGCAGAGAGAGGCAATTTTTATTTCGCGGATTGCGCGACCTTCTATGTATACATCTTGAGGCCAGGTTACTAAATTTGAGTTGGCAATATTAGAACCCGCCGTGGAACCTCCAAGAAGGTTACATGTTCACGCGTCGTATACCTGGAACCATTTTAACGTAAACTTAGAGGGATTGATATCTTTCGTATGCCTAGCGCGCAGACGAGATTTTATAATTTCATAGTTTTAAACGGCCTAAATACCTTAACTCGCTTAAAAAATAACGAGCTATAACAAAATGGACACAGAAATAAAATCTAACATCATTAAATTATTTTTCATATTTGTATAAAAGCGCGGGGTGAAACCCGCGGGTATAAGCTAGTATTACTATAAATAACAACTAAAATTCTGTACTGGGTAACATTCCTACTGGGCATCAATCTAAACTCAAGCTTTCCTGCTGTTTGCGCAAACAACGTTGGACCAGAACAAAAAAATAAGTGAGTGTTTTCTTATTATTATTATTTTTTCTTATATTAATATGTACATACCTCCCTATAGTACAACAAATATACACTCTATTCGATATATATACATACATCCATACACTCATTATCGTATTATCCTAAAAGTTATTTTTTTTTTCTTTTGTCTACCTAAAAACACGTTCCATTTCCATTAAGGTTCTTTAGCTTAGGCATATGTATAAAGGCTGTATACTTAGAGTTAAATATTTGCACATAACAACAAGTAAGGGCGTGAATATGCTCAGTTTTGAGTTTAAATTGAAAATTCCTTAATATTAAGAGTTAGATATGAATAAAGAGTGAATTTGTTAAGTGGAGTCTTGTGAATTACCTATTTAGTCGTTGGTGTCGTTTCGGTTGGGTAGAGGAGAGCTGATGTTCACTCTCAATGCAATGGTAGGGTAGGGAACGATAGGAGATAAGGAGGCATAACACCATCTCTGACCTCCAACAGTAAGAATGGGTTGTTGTTTATGCATATCTATATTTTCGCATAGTATACGCTAGTGCGTGGCATGGTTAACTAGTCGTTCAGTGGCGATTTCTGTTTTAGATGCATTTTNTAGTATACGCTAGTGCGTGGCATGGTAAACTAGTCGTTCAGTGGCGATTTCTGTTTTAGATGCATTTTATCTGATTCCTTATGTCCGTCCGATTTCTACTGTGTCAACTTCCGAGTCCGTCCGTTTATCTATATTGTGTTTTAAAATGTGAGTGCAAAGTTTTCTGATGACATTTTTCCGTTCAGGTTTCGTTCCTATTTCAGTGCATGAATTTATTTATTATATATGCAAATCGCTAGGGTAACGTACAAGGAGCAAGAACCCCGACCACGCGAGTGACTAAGCCCGGTTAAAGCAAGCATGCACGCCGCTCCGAGCACCCTTATGCGGTCCATGACAGTATATATAAAATGGCGCCCAACGTGGGGCCCGAAGATTTGCTTTGGAGCCCGAAGATTTGCTTTGGAGCCCGACAATTTTTGTGAATATTTTATGTTTAGATGCTGGCTTTAGAAGTGACGGAATTAGTTTGGATGCGTTTGGTTGTCCATCTAACCAACTTTAAGAAGTTATGCATGAGATTTTTTGTTGTAAATTCGTTCCTGTTTATAGGCATTTGGAATGGAGTTAAAAATTTAACGTTTTTCTCTACCAGATTCTTGACTGGGACTATTTATGAATAGCGGTTTTCACCCTTTTTACCTTCTTCGAGGTGTTAAAACGTTAATACATAGATGTAAAATAGTAAAGACACACGGTTTTTGCACCAACATTCACCAGTCCGTTTCAGCATGCATAAACATACAATTTTATTCGAATGTATCTTATTCAACCAACGACTAATTATAACTGGCAAGACTTCGAATTATTGATTATAATTGAGAGTTTAGTACACATATAAAACCTTTTTTTTAATAAAATGTCCGTACGCCATAGCGAAGAGCATTTAGCTAACCTTGCTGCTCCTGGTAACATATGTTCCATTTGCAATGAGGGAACGACGAATCTTAATTTTGTGGCTACGCCGTGTTCTCATGGTTTTCATCGATCGTGTTTATCGACTTGGTTGACTGAGAACGACTCATGTCCATTGTGCCGAAGATCGATCGATTCTCAGTCACTAAGAAGTTTTTCCGAACAGGATTTACGTCCCGCTCCTGAGAATGCGTCTTCTCAAGGTGCAATCTCGAGGGCTCCTAACGCCAATAGTAGAGGTCGTAGAATTACGCGATCAAGAGCTGCGCATAACAACAATCTTGATAGGTCTAATCTTGATGAGCCTCACTCACCTGCAAATACGCGAGGGGGTCGATCACATAGAAATAATCGAAAGGATCAACGACAGTCCAACTTTGATTTACAAAGAGTTCAACAAATAATTGAAGAGACCACACGACGGCAAGGGTAGCTATGACTCGCAAAATTACCGAAGTTGTAAGCCAATTAGTTTCTCAGTCATTGGAAACGCGTCTCCAAAATCTAAACATCAATAATGAGCGAAATGAACGAGATAAGCAAAGACCAGAATGGCAACAGAACGAAATCTTACACTCTCCTAGTGGTAGGTACCGTTCCGCTGCTCAGGAGGTCGTCAACTTAAATAGCAACAGAAACCTTGACATACCAAATGGTCACAATATCAATAACAACAACAGTAGTGCTAGAAATACGCAGAACTTATCTCCAGAAGCAATTTCCAAAATAATTGTAAATTGGAAGTTGACTTTCGATGGTTCACCAGAGAATGTTTCTGTAGATGAGTTCATCTACCGAGTAAATGCCTTGACAGCGACGTCACTAAGGTGCAACTTTAATGCACTCTGTCAGAACGCGCAAAGCGAAGAACTGGTATTGGAGGTACCACCATTCAGTGCGATTTCTTGACTGGTTCGACTTATGTGACACGTTAAAAAGCAACTTTAAAGACGTACGAACTGACTATGATATAAAAGAAAGAATACGAAATAGAAAGCAAAAGCACGGAGAGTCGTTTGAACAGTTTTTGGAAGCTGTAATGACTCTTGGCGATAGTTTACGGATACCGATTTCCGAACAAGAGTTAGTTGAAACTCTTATTCGAAATCTTCTCCCTGATATTCGACTAGAGTTATTGCACCTAGATATAACTTCTATAACTGCATTAAGACGCGCGTGTAGGCGGCGTGAAAACTTTTTCGAGACTGTTAAGTCCAATTTTTCTAGAACGCAAATACCACAAAAACGACAGCTAGCGGAGGTAGTTCAAGTAGATCAGCCGGATCGCCCGGAATTCACCATGAGCGGGGATGTAGAACTGAAAAACCTAGATGCACTAGAGACGAAATGCTGGAACTGCGATGCGTCTGGGCATAGCTATAAGCAATGTGTAAAGACTAGGCGAGGTTTTTGTTACGGCTGTGATTTGCTTGCTTGCTTTTTACCAAATTGTCCCAATTGCAACAATTCGGAAAACAAGCAAAGGGGTGCCTACAACAGCACCGGCAGGCATCCCAATCCGATAACAAAATAAACAAACCAACTACTATACTTATTAACTCTGATATGACAAAATCATCGGATCTGCCTTTACACCCGATTCGACCACTACATTTACGCTTGCAAGATTATAAAGCTAAACACAAAGAAATTTTTTCGCAGCCACGTTCGACTATTCGAGCAAAAACATATTGGGCAAACGTAAAAGCGCAAAACAAATGTTTATCGTCCACATCTTTAAGTAAGCCAGGTGACATTCGCCCTTACGCTTCAGTAGAGATCTTAGGAAGTAATGTTTTGGGATTACTAGACTCAGGAGCCTCGATTAGTTGCCTTGGAGCAGAATGGGCAGCAGATGTTCTGGACAGGAATTTAAAAATGAAAAATATCAATTCAAACCTATACACAGCAGACGGTTCGAAATAGCCAGTTTTAGGTATAGTAACCTTAGATGTTCATTTTCAAGATAAAGCTTTTCCAATCGATTTTCCCATTGTGCCAACTCTTAGACGTGTATTTGGGGATCAATTTCTGGAAGGTTTTCCAAATTGCTCCAAATATAGTAAGTGAGTTGAGTACTTCAGAAAACGAAGAAAATGTTCATATGTTATCTGCGATTCAGAAAGGGAAGCTTAACGCGGCGGTTCAATGCTTTCCTTCATTCGAAGAAAAGGGTCTTGGCAAAACACATCTCGTAGAACATCTTATTGACGTTGGGGGAGCAAAACCGCTCAAACAACGCCACTATCCTATTTCACCAGCAATCGAAAAGCTGATAGGCGAGGAAATTGATCGGATGATTGCTTTAGGGGTGAAAGAAGAGTCTAATAGCCCCTGGTGGTCGCCTGTGGTTTTGGTTAGGAAACCAGGCAAGGTCCGTCTTTGTTTAGACAGCCGCAAGGTTAACGCTTTGACGGTGAAGGATGCCTATCCATTGCCGCACATAGAGGGCATACTGAGCACGCTTCCTCGCGCAGAGTTCATATCCAGCTTGGATCTGAAAGATGCATTTTGGCAAATCCCTTTGGAGATAGCCTCCCGCGAGAAAACGGCTTTCACTGTGCCAAACAGACCACTGTATCAGTTCAAAGTGATGCCGTTTGGTATGTGCAATGCTCCTCAAACTATGTGTCGGCTAATGGATAAGGTAATTCCGTATAACCTCAAAGAGCGCGTATTTGTTTACCTGTTGTTAATAATAGATTGGCGCTTACACATATGTTAGTGTTTGGCCGAGCTTCTCCTCCGATTTGTGGCGTGCGCCTTGATGTTGTCACACAAAACGGAGGGACCTACAGTTTTACGCCGACTCCGAACGGCGATTGTATTTTTATGAGAAGCTGTTTTTCATGGCAGAAATGCACTCGGAGGTTTGCCATTGCCTGCCGAGGGACGACCGCTGTTAAGAAAAAACCTTTTTTCTATATGTGTAGCCTTCGAGCTTTTTCGTTGGCTAATTTCGACGCAATAAATAAATAAAAACGCTCGTCGTCCAAAAACAAATACAATTTTATGTACTTTATTTGCAGAAGCAGGCGGGTTCGAATAACCCGTGCTTCACGATTAGCGATTGACAACGAACTAACTTAAAAATGATAGATGAAATTAATGAGAGCCTTTAGCAAAAGGCAATTGCAATAAATGTCATTAACTTGTATGAGTGTGTATATGTACATATGTCTGCAACTAACTACCGAATTTTCTTTATCATTGCTTCGCAGAGCAATTTACAATGTATATATGTAAATATGTAAATATGCATGAATTTAGAAGAGATTATTGCATAGAGTTTAACTTGACTGCGCTGCTTTCGCTTGTTGTGCTGACGACAGTGGCGGCGGAACCAAACATTCTCCCCCCGTTGGAAGCCTAGGGCTTTCAACCTCATCTTGCTTAGGAAGTGGGCATAGCTTTCGTGTAGCTCTCCGGATGATTCCAGTGGCCGTTTTTAGTTCTGCAACGCGGCATACTCCGTCTGTCCCGCTCAACAACTTCACGACCCTCGCAAGTGGCCACTTAAGTGGTGGCAAATTTTCGTCCTTTACCAGGACGATGTCATTGATAGATAAGCCAGGTTTTTGATGGCGCCACTTAGAACGTTGTTGTAGCAGAGTTAAGTACTCTTCGCGCCATCGGGCCCAAAATATTTGCTGATAATATGACACGCGCTGCCATTGGTCTAACCGATTAAAATTAAGAGATGTGACATTCGGTTCATCAAACAAAGCCAGAGGAGCCGTCCCTATGAAATGGGCGGGTGTCAAAACGTCCAGATCGCCAGGGTGCTCTGAAAGTGAAAATAAAGGTCTAGAGTTAATTATTGCCGCAATGTGGCAGATGAGCGTGCGCAGCTCATCAAAGTTTAGCAAGGAATTTGCAGCTGTTCGATAAAAATGGTGCTTAGCCGTTTTTACGGCCGCCTCCCACAGTCCACCAAAGTGTGGGTAACGAGGAGGAATGAATTTCCAATCGATGTTGTTGTCTAAACAAAATTCGTGAACCACCTTTATGTGACTATCACTAAGAAACAGGCGACGTAATTCGGCAAGCTCGTTTCTAGCACCAACAAAATTAGTAGCGTTGTCTGACCATATTCTAGCGGGGCAACAGCGAGTGAGAATGAATCGCTTGAGAGCATTCAAAAAGGCCTTCGTAGAAAGATCCATGACTAACTCCATATGAACAGCCTTGGTAGCGAAGCATATAAAGATACAAATATAACATTTTATTGGCTGCCTGTGCCGTATTTCGTTCTTATAAAAAAAAGGTCCACAAAAGTCCACGCCTGTGACCTTGAATGCGTACGATGTGTTGACTCGATCAAGAGGAAGATCCGCCATAATATGTTCAGCTACAAAAGGCTTAGCTCGAAAACAGACTGTGCATTTACTCACTGTACTTGAGACAGTTTTCCGACCTCCGATTGGCCAGTAATGCAGGCGAATGTTGGCCAGCAATGCGCGAGGACCGGCATGTAAATTGCGTCTATGGAAGTGCATGATGATTGCATGAGTTACCGGATGCCTTCTAGGCAATATAATGGGATGTTGACCATCGAAGTCCAAAGCTGAGTTTTTGAGTCGTCCACCTACACGTACTAATGCTTCGTCGTCAATAAATGGAGATAGAGATGAAATGCAGCTGTTTGGCTTTACCCGTTCACAACTTTTCAAGGCATTGTAGTCATCCGAAAGATTAGCCATTTGAATTGTTCGTAAAAGCAATTTTGTTCCCTGTTGAATATGATCAACTGTTAATCCGTTATGTCGGATCCTATGCATGAATTTGTAGATATAGCCGAAAACGTGCTGTAGTTTTGCGAACGAGTTGACATATTTGTAACGAAGTGTCATGTCAGCGCATTGAGGGACTATCAGTAGGACCTTCTTGCGAAGCTCGGGGAGATCTTTCACTACACTACAAGTCAATGGCCATTTGCTTCGACCTTCAGCTAAAAATTCAGGACCGCGAATCCAAATTGAAGATTCGATGAGCTCACTGGGAGATGCGCCCCTAGAGAGAATGTCAGCTGGATTTAACTTGGTTGGCACATAATTCCACTCCATGCCTGCCGTCAACTCTTGTATTGCTGCTATGCGGTTTGAAGCAAAGATTTGAAACCGAGATGGCTCGTCGCGGATCCATGCTAGTGCAACTGCGGACTCCGACCAACAAAAAAACGGGCATTCAAAAATGTTCATTTCAGCGACCTCATGAATGAGTTGTGCCAACCGTGCTGCTCCACAAAGCTCTAGCTTCGGTATTGTAAGAGTTTTGAGGGGTGCTACACGCGACTTGGAGCAAAGTAAATGCACCTGCCTCTCGATTCCATTGTCGGATACTACGTATACACAGGCTCCATAAGCCTGAACGCTAGCATCGCTGAAGCCATGAACCTCGACCACACCTTTTGGCAGGATAGACAGCCGAGGAAAACTAAGTTTCGGTATGCGAACAAGATCTGAGTATAAACTATTCCATGATGAATCTAACGATGAGGGCAAACTTTCATCCCAGTCGAGTTGCTCCCTCCAAAGATGCTGAAGAAAAATCTTTGCTTTCGAAATAATGGGACCAATAAGCCCCAATGGGTCGTAAAAACGAGCAATTATTGATAAAATCGATCTTTTGCAATTCCTCTTTGCTGTGGCTGTGGGTGTAAATACGAAAAGTAGGCTATCAGAGGCTGGGTCCCAAGTAAGACCAAGCGTCTTAGTGACATTGCTTCCATCATCGAAGCTCAAGAGAGGTTCGGTATCTTCGCTTGGTATACCTTGAAGCAGATCCACATTATTAGTGCACCATTTCCGCAATTTAAAACAACCCTTCGCCAACATATTAGTAATTTGATTCATGATCTCTCTGACTTCTTGGACAGAATCCCCACCTGTAATAAGATCGTCGACATAAAAGTCTCGCCGCAAAATTTCAGCTCCAACAGGAAACAGCTTCTGCTCGTCAGAGGCTAATTGATGCATTGCTCGCACTGATAAAAATGCAGCCGGTCGAGTACCATAAGTTACTGTACCAAGTTTAAAAACTTGAACTTCATGTTGTGAAGTATCGCGCCACAATACGCACTGCAAGTAGGAGTCATCCTCCGAGACTCGTACACATCTGTACATTTTGCAAATATCACCAGTTAAGGCAACAGAAAATGTTCTAAAACGCAACAGTATGTTATAGAGTTTGGGTTGTATGGTAGGGCCAGTCATAAGTACATCGTTGAGGGAGTACCCGGTGGACGAAGCTGCAGAGCCGTCAAATACAACCCGTAATTTTGTGGTGGTGCTGTCTTCCTTCATTACGCAGTGATGGGGTAAAAAATATTTGCAAAGATGACGATTTTCTTCACTAACTAAAGACATATGCCCCAAGTCTAAGTATTCTTGCATAAACGCAGCGTAATTTTGCTTTAGTTCAGGTTGGCGATCTAATTTACGCTCTAGATTTAGGAATCGACGCAATGCTTGCGGATATGACTCACCTAGCATACTTATATTGGGTTTAATAGGCAATCGAACCGAATAGTCCCCAGTTGATAATCGAGTAAAGTTAGCCTTGAAGTGGGATTCACAATCAATCTCTTCCTTGGTATATTTGACTACAGAGGAAGCGCAGCTTTCAAGCTCCCAAAAGCGACGCACCAACTGATCAAGCTGAGTGGATGGTTTCGTTGAGGATACCGCGTTTAGAACCCTTGCTGTTCTGGGCTTAGAGTCGCCACCTGTGACCACCCATCCTAATCTGGTTTTTTGAAGTAGCGGCAGACCAGAAGCCAACTTGATCTGCCCAACACACAAAAGATCATAGAAAAGACTTGCACCTATAAGCATATCAACGCGTTGGGATTTGTGAAAGTCTTTATCTGCTAGACGAATGTTGGAGGGAATGTTCCACGATGCTATATTTAGACTGAAGTTAGGTTGATTGTCTGTTATGTTGGGGGCTACTAAAGCAGAAATGAAAGTAGTGTATTCAGAAGTTTGAGAACGAAGATTCATGTTGACAGTAAAACCATCAGACTGGAACTCGGAGTCGCCAAGACCAGATACAGCTGCAAATGATTTAGTTTTGCGCAGTTGTAATTGCTGAGCAAGTCGAGATGTGATTATGTGCAATTGCGATCCGGAATCGAGCAACGCACGACAGGGTACCCATGTACCAGCACTATTCTTGACGTCAACAACCGCAGTAGCGAGGAGCACAACATCACAATTGAGATTCGGGGCACCCGAAGAATCAATGACAGAAGGGGAAACAACAGTGAGAGAGCGATGTGGATGTTGCGGAGTAGATTGCGATGACAATGGAGGGTTTTGTTGTTCATTTATTATCAACAATTCTAAGAGCAAATTTTGCCTAAAGCAAGTGCGATATCTTGGTTACATAGTCGGTCACAGCAACCTACAAACGGATCCCGATAAAGTATCCGCAATCAGTGAATACCTACCACCGAAGACGGTGAAGCAGTTGCGTCGCTTTTTAGGCATGGCTGGTTGGTACAGGCGTTTTATAGCGAACTTCGCCGCCATTAACACCCCACTGACGGAACTTCTTAAGAAAAATCGAGCATTCGAATGGAATGATGATGCTCAAGAAGCTTTTGATCTTCTAAAGCAGCGCTTAACATCAGCACCTATCTTAGCCAATCCAGATTTCAGCAAACCATTTGCCAACCGATGCGAGTCAGTGTGGAGTAGGCGCGGTGCTCGCACAAGAAAACGAAATCGGAGAAGAAATACCTATTGCCTATATGAGTCAAAAACTAAACAAAGCACAGCGTAATTACTCCGTTACTGAGCAGGAATGCCTAGCTGCTGTTTTGGCTGTGAAGAAATTTAGACCATACATCGAAGGACAGGAGTTCAAGATCATAACTGATCATGCCAGCCTTCGATGGTTGATGAAGCAATCCGATCTTAGCGGTCGTTTAGCGCGCTGGGCGCTAAAATTACTTGCATTCACCTTTTCGAACGAGCATCGCAAAGGATCCGCTAATATAGTCCCAGATGCACTGTCTTGTGTAAATTCAGATAGTATTGATGAGATAGGAATGCCATGCGAAAATGCACCCGTTATAAACCTAAAATCTTCAGAATTCGACAGTACGGAGTATAATTGCCTAAGAGATAGACTTAAGCGCCACGAGGAACAGTTTCCTGACTTCAAGGTATTAGATAAGTATATTTACCACCGCACTGAGTTTTATAGTGGTGAAGCAGAACAGCAAGAAGCTGCTTGGAAGCTCATGGTACCTAGTGCTCTGCGAAATCAAGTTTTGCATAACGCACACAACATAGATACAACTGCTCACGGTGGAGTCGCAAAAACGGTTGAGAGGATCAGACGATTTTGCTATTGGCCTGGCCTATATCGTTAGTTAGGGAATATGTGGCAGGATGTGAAGTTTGCCAAACAACAAAACATTCGACCAAAGTGCTAAGACCACCCATGGGTAATTTTACACCGACAGAACGAATATTTCAGAGAATTTATATTGATCTCATCGGACCATTCCCACGATCCAAAAGTGGCCATATCGGAATACTAATAGTATTGGATCACATGTCAAAATTTACATTCCTTTGCCCCCTGAAGCATTTTACCACCTCGCCCATAGTTACCTTTTTGAAACAACAAGTATTTGATACTTTCGGCGTTCCGGAGTTCATTGTTAGTGACAATGGAAGTCAATTTCGCTCGCGCGAATTTGAAAGCTTCCTCAATAAATTTGGCGCTAAACATGTATGTACAGCGATATACTCTCCCCAAAGTAACAGTTCGGAACGAGTAAATCGCTCAATCAACGCTGCGATTCGTGCGTATAAAAAAAAATGATCAGCGAGATTGGGATCTGCATTTAAGCAGCATAAACTGTGCCTTAAGGAATTCTATTCACCAGACGATTAACCAGACTCCATTTTATGTTGTGTTTGGTCAACATATGATGACACACGGACAGGACTATAAGTTGCTAAGAAACATTGAAATGATCGAGGAAGGAAAGGTTACAGATCAGGCGAATAGATTTGATAAGCTTGTACATGTGAGGGATTCGGTACGCGAGAATATTCAAAAGGCTTATGAAGTAAATGCTCAAAGATATAATCTTCGTTCTCGCCCGGTAACTTACGATGTTGGCCAAATAGTTTTAAGGAGAAACTTCACTTTGAGTAGCGCACCGAAACAGTTCAGTAGTAAGCTAGGGAAAACTTTTTAAAGGCGCAGGTTCGAAACCAGATTGGAAAGTCGTGTTATGTTTTAGAGGGCATGTCCGGGAAAAAACTAGAAATCTTCCATGCCAAGGATATGCAAGCTTTTAATTAAATGCACAAAGCCTGCTTACGCCCTTTCTCAGCTTTTAAAAATGATGTATTGTTCTACATTTTTAAAACCTATTTTGTGAGGGCTGTTTTGAGGCATGGGCTATAGCGTTACTTTTTAGTTTATTGTTCACCTAAAAGTAGGTTTCAGTATATAGTCAGAATTTCTTTTTGGTTAACAAAATATTTCGAAATTCAAAACGATATAACATCTCTGTCGACAGTTCTGACTGTGAAGAGCACAAATATTTTTCTGCGCTACCGAACACTGAAACATAAATTGACGGGAGTACTCAACTAAGTAGAGCCTTCATTTCCTGTCAGAAATTTTCTCTCTTCCATTTCCTCTTGAGATCGACAGCAAGCACTACTGCGAAAAATATGGCCTATAATAGTGAATATAATAATCGAGATTTATAAATTGAATCTTTCTTGCTTTTAAAGTAAAGAATATCGGAATTCAGTCGCGAAAGTTTTTTAGTATCACCTTAACTTAAACATTTTGAAAAAAATAAAAAGGTAAAGGTTTAAATTATTTGTTTTTTGTTATTTTATGGCCTTATAACAATTATATTCAACAATTTTTATGAGCTTGAGGCCGATTTTAGTGAAAGTTTATTGTGGAAAAGCAACAATAATTTGAAAAAATGGTAGAAGTGATAGCTATTTCGGAAATCACCATATTTCCTCATCAGACGAAAGCACACCTAAAAGTTAAACATTCTAATAATAGAAATATTAACAAAAACCAACAAACCCAACAACCACATGATCAAGTGAATTGCAGCGGAATAGCTGCGCTTGATTGTAGTTGGCTTAGCAAAGTGAAATAGTGGAAAATAAGCAACAAGAATTAACAAGACAAACTTAGCACAGTGCGTAGGCAACTGGCTGAGTCAGTGGTGATCGTCGGTTCGAATCCTACTGAAAGAAGTCTGATGAGGAAATGTGGTGATTTCCGAAATAGCTATCACTTCTACCATTTTTTCAAATTATTGTTGCTTCTCCACAATAAACTTTCACTAAAAACGGCATCAAGCTCATACAAATTGTTGAATGTAAAGGTTTAAATAAAAAGTAAATCTTAAAACCAGCGGCCACGTGCCAGAACAACCAAAGGCACTTTCGTGGACACGTGTACCTCGAGTTCCGGAGTCTCTGTGTGGACTCCAGCTCAGTTATTGCGGTCCCCATTTATATGACTGGTATATTAACTAAGGAACCTAAAACTCCGGCAAAATCAATTTTATGGTAAGAGAACCTACATAGTAATATTAGTAAATCGAGCATTTAGTAAAAACGTGATATCATTTAGGTGATTACTGCGCTATAGCAGCTCTAAATCTTCTAAAAGTAGCTCAGAGTGTCGGTAGTACCCCGAGTAAGGCTTCCAACAAGACCATGTCCAGCGCGGTGAATCACGTGTGTCCGACCGAACGAAATCGGCAGTCAGATATCCACACTCACCATCTGCCTCTCAGCGAACGGGGCATCTTGCTTAGCTCCCACCAAAATTGCCTTGGGTACGACCCCTGCTCGTTCACCTGGATTTGACATACACCACATTCATACATACCACATACAATAACGAACTTATCTAGTTTTGAATTCTTTTGCCTATAAGTTAGAGACATTTCAGCACATTTATCATCCGCATATGAGCGTTGGAGCACTTGTAGTGGCCCAACCAATTGCGGTGGACACCCTCGTCCATCTGAAGTCGATATCAATCCTTGGTTTGAGTAAATTTTTAACCGTATAGGGCATATAAAGTAATAACTAATACTATATATTATTCTTCTACTGAATTCAAATTCTCATACTTTGCCCATTTCTATTTGGATTTCTTTTTGTTTACCGAATTCTGTATATTGATACCCAAGTTAACAGGAAAAAAAATTTATTTAATTAAATAGCGTTCAGCAAGATTTAATATATATATACGAAAATAGTTAAAGTTCTTAAAATCGAGGAGCATGTACATATTACTATAAATAACAACTAAAATTCTGTACTGGGTAACATTCCTACTTGGCATCAATCTAACCTCAAGCTTTCCTGCTGTTTGCGCAAACAACGTTCGACCAGAATAAAAAAATAAGTGAGTGATTTCTTATTATTATTATTTTTTCTGATATTAATATGTACATACCTCCCTATAGTACAACAAATATACACTATATTTGATATATATATACATACACCCATACACTCATTATCGTATTATCCTAAAAGTTATTTTTTTTTCTTTTGTCTACCTAAAAATACGTTCCATTTCCATTAAGGTTCTTTAGCTTAGGCATATGTATAAAGGCTGTATACTTAGAGTTAAATATTTGCACATAACAACAAGTAAGGGCGTGAATATGCTCAGCTTTGAGTTTAAATTGAAAATTCCTTAATATTAAGAGTGAATTATGAATAAAGAGTGAATTTGTTAAGTGGACTCTTGTGAGTTACCTATTTAGTCGTTGGTGTCGTTTCGGTTGGGTAGAGGAGAGCTGATGTTCACTCTCAATGCAATGGTAGGGTAGGGAACGATAGGAGATAAGGAGGCATAACACCATCTCTGACCTCCAACAGTAAGAATGGGTTGTTGTTTATGCATACATGGGCGTAGCCAGGTAGGGGCAGGGGGGGCCCGGGCCGCCCCCTAACTTTCAAATTTTTGCATAGATATTCAAAAATACTACCACGAAATGCTTGCTTGATAATTTCGGCCCCCCCTAAATTTCAAGGTTTTTCCTATATATATACTGTATAACAAATTATACTCCTAACGCTAACTAAATAATTAGTAAATTGATTTGAAAAGTAGATATGTGGATCATCCGGTTCTGTATCAAGTTATTATCTCTAACTTCAAAGCACTTCCATTTTAAAAGGGTAAAAACCTGGCTGCAGTCGACAATGAGCAAAAATTGATTGAACGGAAACTATAAATAAATTTATAGTTCAATTGTTTATTACTTTGTCTTTAGGTTTGTGTCTTTACTAAGCGGTTGGGTGAACAGCCAAGACGTTTACTTCTAAAGTGTGACAAAACAAAATCAAGTAATATATTTAGCATAAATAAATATAGCAGCCTAAAAAATCTGCGTAGTCAAAATGTTCAATACGCCCTCATACTTATAAATACATACATATGTATGTATATCATTTAACGTTTTGTCCGGCTATTTGGTTTATTATACAGGTATGTAGAGCGA